TATAACATGGATTTCCTGGTGGGCAACAGCCTGCACACGTTGCTTACCTCCAAGCTCATTCTTGTTTGGCACATCTGATTGGCCAGTGTAAATCACATGCCTTCACCCTGCTCCAAGGGAATCTAAGGGTGTGAGTTTTTTGGATCCTGCTTTGGGAAGGCATGGACTGATAAGGTGGGAAATTATCAATATGTGGTGAGGGTTTTCAAATGTGTGGCCTCCTGCTGAATGACAGCTATCCATGACAGAAAGGAAAACAGGAGAATTACCTAATAGAATAGGAGGAAAACTATAGATGATAGGTTATTCAGCAACATTAGGCCCTTCAAACAGAAGAAAGTACAAACAACTTTCCTCCCAGCCTAGACAGGAGGAGATCTATGAAGGAATAAGCACCTATCAGAGAAATACTTTTGTGATTTGGGTCCTGGGTCTGCCATAAATAGCTGTGCTAACTTTGGCAACACAGCTCTCTTCCCAGGTTCTTACTTTCTCATCCATAATAGGAGTAAGCGTTTGGGTTAACTCTTCAGGTACTGTGGAGGGTATGCTGACATTCAGGGCCAGCATCAGCCCACAGTACTCTCCTACCATGTGTGGTTTGTGAGATGACTGTGTATTAGACAAGAAAACATTTTTATTTTAATAATTATGCTTATATTTTAATGTGCTATAAAAAGTAAACTAGCACATCAACTCCTAATCCCATGGCTATTTTCATTTATAGTGAGGCTGAATTTAAGGTTAAAGTAAATCTATTTCTTTTAAATTAAGTAAACATTATATAGCTATGGCAGGTTAAAAAATACTATGTAAGTAATGTACAAATAATAACCAGGGCTTGAGAAATAAGATCCAGAGCAGTAATTTTCACCTTTTAATGTACATAATGAGTCAGTGTGGGTTTTATTTAAATGAAGATTCTCTGTGGTCCCAGCACTTTGGGAGGCCGGACGGGCGGATCACAAGGTCAGGAGATCGAGACCATTCTGGCTAACACGGTGAAACCCCGTCTCTACTAAAAAAATACAAAAAACTAGCCGGGCGAGGTGGCAGGCGCCTGTGGTCCCAGCTACTCGGGAGGCTGAGGCAGGAGAATGGCGTGAACCCGGGAGGTGGAGCTTGCAGTGAGCTGAGATCCGGCCACCGCACTCCAGCCTGGGCGACAGAGCGAGACTCCGTCTCAAAAAAAAAAAAAAAGAAAAAAAAATGAAGATTCTGATTTAGGAAGTCCGGGATGAGGATGAGATTCTGCTTTTCTAACAGGCTTCCAGTTGATGTGCTGCCTCTGCTTTGGCAACCACATTTTGAGTAGCCAGGAGACTGAATAGTGCTGAATGTGGGTAGTTTAGGTTACCCATAACCTAAACATCAATTGGAGAATCTGGTTAAAATGCAGATTCTCAGGTTCCAAGCCAAGAAATTCTGATTTACCAGGGTGGGGAAGAGCCCAGGATTTCATATATTTAATAGGCATTCCCAGGAGTTTCAGATGCAGATGATTTGAGAACCACACTGGCAGGAAGGACACCCTCAGGGATTGTGATGGCCACAGCACAGCAGTGGAACAACATTGTTTCCCTTCACTCTAAGGAAAGGAGCCCCTTTCCACCTGACTTACAGCGGAAGAATCTACCGAATTTATTTATTTATTTATTTTTGAGACAGGGTCTCACTGTTGCCCAGGCAGGAGTGCTGTGGTGTGATCTCAGCTCACTGCAACCCCCACCTTCCGGGTTCAAGCGATAATCCTGCCTGAAGCCACCCGAGTAGCTGGAATTACAGGCGCACACCATCACACACAGCTAATTTTAGTATTTTTAGTAGAGACAGGGTTTCACCATGTTGCCCAGGCTGGTCTCAAACTCCTGAGCTCAGGTGATCCACCCGCCTCGACCTCCCAAAGTGCTGGGATTACAGGAGTGAGCTACCACGCCCTGCCAGAAAATTTGTTTTATAACCATGTGATTACTCATCTGTACTCTTCAGGAGTACAGAAATACATTCAGAGATAGGCATCATTGAGCTGCCTAACTCTGAAAGCTGTGGGGCCCAGGGCCCATCCCTATGGGGTGTGGCCCAAATTAGTCACCCTGTGCTGTTTTTGTCACAGGAGAAATTAATGTCAGTGAAACCTAGATGAGCTGAGTTTTAGTTTATTTTTAAAAAGGAATAACAATACTAATGATCAACAACAACAACAAAAAGGGATATATAAGCTATACTTCCATCAAGAAGAATTCTAAGTCCGGGTGTGGTGGCTCATGCCTGTAATCCCAGCACTTTGGGAGGCTGAGGTGGGCAGATCACTTCAGGTCAGGAGTTCGAGACCAGCCTGGCCAACATGGTGAAACCCTGTCTCTACTAAAAATACAAAAATTTGCCAGGTGTGGTGGTGCGCCTCTGTAATCCCAGCTACTCAGGAGGCTGAGGCAGGAGTATTGCTTGAACCCAGGAGACGGAGGTTGCAGTGAGCTGAGATCACGTGACTGCACTCCAGTCTGGGCCACAGAGCAAGACTCCCATCTCAAAAAAAAAAAAAAAAAAAAATTATAAGGATGGGGTGTTCTGCTCTGGAAATGTTAGAATCTTAAAGTTGGAAGGCTGTTATTTCACTACATTTTTGACAGAAATAAAAGAAAAAAAAATAAGGTGGCTGTGAGGAGTACCCTGAAGGGGACATCAGAGGGCCCTACTTGCCTTGGCTGCCTGGTGGGGTACAAAGCTGTGTGGATGAGTTCACCTTTTTCATGCCACTGGCCATCACTTGTCATGACTCAACATAGCACTGTCCAGCCTGTCCTGAGGTCTCTGTTCCTCAAACAGTGACCACCACCATCTCCTTCACTCACATCCCAAGTTTAGGGTTCAGAACCTATAATGTGGTTGGTGTACGGCTTTTCATTTATTTTTTAAATTTTTATAATTATTTTCTCCCACTCTATCATTCATTCAATATTTATTAGGTGACCTTCTATATGAAAGAGTGGCTTAACTCCTCTATTTATTTATTCATTCATTTATTTACATCAGTATAGACTCATGAATGAATATTGTATTCAATGGCTTCAAATCTATTCTTATTAATTTTGAAGTTTGTAATATAATATAAAGTAATCCGGTAGAATTCTCACTGTTAAACTACTCTTTAAAGAAATCCATTACACAGTTTCAATTACATTTGCAAATCCCTGGTTGTAGTCATTATTAATCCACTTTATAGTTTCAAAAGAGGTCTTGGGGGAGCGTATTTGCGAAGTGCACCCACCGTCGTTCCCTTACTCTGGTAGTCACAGGGTGACAGCCGAGGGCGCGGTAACCTGTCATCTGCCGGCATCACAGGCTGCGTTATTGAGTGAGCCAGGCCCCAGATGCCAGGCGCATGACGAGTCCGCAGAACGGTACCTCCCTCCCCACGCACCCCGGGCTCCTGGGGCGGGGCCGCCGGGCAGGGGGCAGGGCCGCCGGGCAGGGGGGCGGGGCCGCCGGGCAGGGGGCGGGGCCGCCGGGCAGGGGGGCGGGGAGCATCCTGCGTCGCCTTCCCGGGCCCGCCCCGCCCCGCCCCGCCCCGCCCCGCCCCGCCCCGTCTCACTCAGAGAGCTGGGCTGGGGCTCCAAGCGGAAACCGCGGGACCCGAGCCCACCAGGAATGCAGACCTCTTGAAAACCAAGCCGAGGCTTCCAGGGTCTTGAGTCCACGCAGAGTGAGTACTGTCTTCCGCCGCTTTGCTCCCGGGTCCCGCGGCTTGTGTCCCCCAGCGTCCGGCCCTGCGTGTCTGCGGCCTGGACCCTGCCGCGGACTCCCCAGGCTCTGGACGTGCGCTCTTCCTACGATCGCGACCCAGGGAACCCTGTGCGTTCTGAGTTTAACGGTGTTTCTTGGCGGCTCCTCCTCCCTGTCGGTGACACTGTTACTGCCCCTTCCTCCGGGAATGTATCTAGTGACCGGACGCGCAGGGTCACAAAACGGGATTTGTGTGGCCTGGGACAAGCACCGAAAGGAGGAAAGCGGTAGCTTGTGAGTTTGGTTTGGCACCTTTATCTCCAGGGCTGGAGACAGCCCTCCTCCTCCCAGCCCTGCGCCACCCTGTGGTGGCCTCCGCTTTAGAGCGTGAGCTCACTCTGACCTTTCTGCGCACCTGACACATGCTGGGTGTGGCGTGGCGAGTGCTGTAACCTGTTTTGGTTCCATCTCCTTTACACAACCTGAGACTGTTGTAGTATGACATCACGGAGGGTTACTTTGTGTCTATCTTTTAAGGATACGAAGTGTTTTCAGAGATTTAACTATCTCTTCTGTATGGTTAGGGACCCGGCATTCTCCACTTACACACAAACAGGGGGCAAGTTCTTTATTCCCATTGTACAGCTTCAGAAAACGAGGCAGAGAGTTTAGACAGCTTTCCTAAGGATCGGGACTTTGGGGCCTCTTTAATTTTCTAGGAAACCACCTATGCATCAGAATGACAGAAATGCTTAATCAGCAGCTCTGGAAAGTTCCTGCTGTTTCACATGTTTTTCAGAGGTAAAAACCTCTGCATTGCAGGGAAGCTCAACAAGGAGTGGCATCTACTGTTCAAAAGGGGAAAGTCTATTTCCTAATCAGTAATAGAGTTTATATTAATATAGATTGCTTCTTTCTGATGAATGAATTCGACTTTTGCGCACTGGTTTTTCAGTATCTAAAAGGAATATCGAGTTGCTGGGAATATGGTGGGGAGGGTGTGCTGCATGGGTTCTAGGAGGCAGCATAGGATTAAAATGAAGTAGTGAAATTTAGCAAAACCTTGCTAAACAAGGAAAGGCCACATCTGTAGACTGATGGAGAAGGAATAAGCCACCTATAGCAATGGGGCTGACTAGGGATCCCGTGTGTGTGTAGCAAGGACTCCTGGTGTCTATTACAAATCAGCATGCTTTGTAGACTGTGAAACAGTGTTTATGAAGTAGCACATTCAAGTATACATATTGGCTGTGGTTCAGTTCAGATGCTTTGAAAGAAGAGTCCCAGTGCATGAGAATAGTTGATTATATAGAATTAGTGGGGAGTTTTGGTTCCTTGATTATTCTCTGGTAGAATTGACTGAGTATAACATCTCTCCTGCAATGAAAACATAAAAGATAGTACGTAAAATAACAGTTAGACAGAGTGAAACCAAAAAGAAAAAGAAAACATTTTCTTTTCATTTGAATGACTTCTTAAAATCAGCTGAGTATTTGTGTTTCTATTCGTTGTTTATAATCACAGTTGACTTTTAAGTGATCACTGCTTCTTAGGTGGAAACATTTTTTCTCAAAATATGAGCTATCTTAATCAGTCCTATTCAAATAAAAACTCCATAACCCAAACCATGTTCTCCTATGTTCATATGTATCTTTGTATCTCCTCTTTCATTATACTTTATAATTCCCTCAATTTGGAGATCATACGAATCTGAGATATCTGTTTTAGCACAGGTGTGTCTAACCTCATAAGAACATACTGCATAGTGTTTCTGATGCATTGAATTAGCAATCTGCATACTAGAAAATTACAGGAGGTTTTCACAAACATTGCATTTTCTTTTTTCTCTGTGGATGCTCTTGACTTAAAAATGTCATCTTAATGTTTCTCAAAAGGCATACTGTTGGCATTTTGGGTGACAATTCTGAATTAGATAGAGCTTTTTGCTCCCACTGAATGTCAGAGTGACCAAAAGCACTTTCATGCATTTAAATGAACTTTGGTTGGGTACTATCTCCAATTTTTTTTTAATTGGATAAAAGATATTAAAAATGGCTAGGCATGGTGGCTAATGCCTGTAATCCCAGCACTTTGGAAGGCCAAGGAGGGAGGATCACTTGAGGCCAGGAGTTTGAGACTAGCCTGAGCAACATAGCAAGACCCTGTCTCTACAAAAAATTTAGAAATTAGACAGGCATGGTGGCATGCACCTATGTGGCCCCAGCTACTTGGAAGGCTAAGGTGGGAGGATCAATTGAGCCTGGGAGGTTGAAATTATAGTGAGCTGTGATTGTGCTGCTGCACTCCAGCCTGAAACAGCGATGAAACCCTGTGTCAAAAAAAAAGAAAAGAAAGAAAGAAGAATTGAGCCATACCATTTTGATGGAAAACCATAAAAATAATTACCCAGTCACATGATTTCCCATTTTTAAGGCCACTTTACATCTCCTAAGACTTGATGGCTTCTGAGTAAATCTGTTTATTTGAACATTGCTATGTGGGCAGAAACTGTGTGTAATCATACCATTAGCAAGGTGATATTGTTGGACCCATGTGCTACTCTATTGTCTACCCTAAGCAATAATAATAGATTATTAAAAGGTGACTGTAATAGGTTCTAGTAAAAGAATAGATTAGTATAATCTGTATTAGAAAAGAGTATTAATAGCTCTAATATTAATATTTGTATTAATAGTTCTAATAATAGTTCTAATGTGGCTGTAACACATTAATAGTAACAGCTACATTTACTGAAAACACTATATTCTAAGCACATACGGAGCCCTTATGTGCTGTGATGATAATGTAACTATGAGGTAGATGCTCCTATTATGCTCATTTTACAGATTAAGAAAATAAGAACTACCACACTGTATTGTTTTTCAGGACATATTGAACAGCTTGCCATGAACACTTTTCAAAGAATGAGCTTCAGTGCATGAAAAGTTATCACACACTAAATTCTCATTTTGCTACAGTGATTTCCTCTCTCAGAATACAAACTTTTACTATACCATGAGCCCCTTAAAGACAGACTCCCCTATAGCATCTACTTTGTGTCTTCCACATAGTAATTGCTCAATATTTATTGGATTGAAAAAAAGATTAGTTTTATCTTAATATGAATAGAGCCCTAAGATGCTGTTACATTAATATAGATTATTCCTGGTTAGGTAGAAATGATAAAATAATATTCATTTTTATTCTCTAGGATTTGCAAGTAGTTTTTGAAGCTTAATATCTATTTGTGCTTTGGCTAAAGATTATAGAGTGGATAATCAAAAAAATATGAGCAAGGAACCCTTTTTTCTTTCTTTCTTTCTTTTTTTTCTGGAGTTTCTGCAATCAGCTGTACATGATGCTAGGCATACAGAGGTATGGCACACATAACAAATATAAAGGGCAATGTGAACAGTGTTAAATGGCACTGCTATCACAATGCTGTAAAAGCGGAGTGAAAGGTTAAAGGAAGAGGGTTGAGGTTAAGCTTGGGAGCCTGTTTTTCTGGGAATACACAGTAGAAATATGATTTCCTTAAAGGAAACCTGCAACCAGGAGGCAAGGCTAAAGCAGAAAATGCCAACGGCTGCAGATGCTAGTGACTGGGATGTTATTCTGGTGGGGCACGGTCAGTTAAGGCAGGACTGCTCATAAGTGTGACATACTTCCAGCTCCCAGTCAGTCTCTTCTTCCCGTGCTTTCCCCTGAGACACTCCCGTTTGTGTTGCACACCTTTGCATGTGCTTTTTTATGGGATTGAGAGTTCTGGTTAATTCTAGGACATTCTGGTGAGATGTTTTTGCTACTCTTCCCTTGTAAACAGACTGGATTTCCATCAGGTGTCAGTAACACCTGAGATTTTCGTTTTGTCCTGGGGCTCTACGCAGTTTAACTGGAGCTGCCTCAACTGATTGGGTGTGTGTTGTCAGTCCTCCAGGCAAGCTCTGAGGGTTATGTGTTTCTGCTGCTCATATTTCTGTTTGTTTCTTCACCACTCACCCCGAGGTGCAAAAGTACAAAGACAGGTTCATCAACAATCAGAATAACCTGCCCCTGAATTCTTTCTAATGACTCATTTTTCTCAATCTAGTTTCTAATTTCCTATTTGGCAGCTGCCACCTGGTAAATACATCTCCTTAGCTAGAGGAGGAAAACTTCACACACAGTTTACTCACCTTTTTTTGTTTTCCCTGGTTCCTCTCACAGGAATGGTTAGCACACCTTGGTTTCAAAGTTGTTTGGTCTGTTTTGTTGCCATTCGTTTTCCTACAGATGCCTTTACAACACTCTGTTTTTAAAAAAAAAAAATTAACATTTAACTTTATTTGGGCAAGATATTTTATATGTTAGAAAAAAGGATTTTGGGTCTGCTTTTATTGAGTGTGTTAACTTTGGGTAACTTTTTTTTTTTTTTTTTTTTTTTTTTTTTTTTTTTTTTGAGACAGAGTCTCACTGTGTCACCTGGGCTGGAGTGCAGTGGCACAATCTCGGCTCACTGCAGCCTCCACCTCCTGGGTTCAAGCAATTCTCCTGCCTGAGCTTCCTGAATAGCCAGGACTGCAGGCACGCACCACCACTTCTGGCTAAATATTGTGTTTTTAGTAGAGACGGGGTTTCACCATGTTGGTCAGGATGGTCTCGATCTCTTGACCTCATGATCCAATCAACCTTCACAGGGAAGGTCTTTCGTGAACTAAACCAGCTGATGTTCATGGTCCACGTTTGGAGCCTGAGCAAGGTCATAGACCACTCACATTTCACTCAAAGTTGCCATAACAGATTAAAGCGCTCAGTATGCAAGCATACTCCCTGAACGCTATAATGGACTGAGGTTCCCCACACAAGTGACTTAAGAGTCAAAGACCGAGGCCACACCTCAGGGCCTCCAGAATTGCCTAGGATAGAGTTGTTGGGGAAAGTGTGAGCTGTGAGTGCTGTTCCCACCAAGAAATCAGGAGCTCAGCCTCCTGCACATACTGTTTCCTTATTAACTACGCTAACAGAGTTGCCAGGGAAGGTAGCGGGGAATAGAATCACTTACACATTTTTCAGTTACGTATGCTTTTTCCTTATTGTGAATGTAGGAAATTGTGTTTGTATCCAGTAGGAAAAATGAAACCCTTTTACAGGACTCCATTACTATGGCTAATAATCATCAGAGTCCCTGAATGTAAGTATTCTCATGCTAACAATATGTTTAAAACAGTGCCTCCTGCTTGTAGAAATGCATCGTTGTATAGTATTTTATTTTAAAAGATATGTCAGGTTTAGAGAGCTGAGTCTGCATCAGGGAACTGAAACTGGTAACCAGCATTTTTGTTTCTCAGGATTCTTATCTTTCATGTGTCCCATCTCTTTATTTTTCTGCGCTGTGTTCTGAGTAAAGGCCTCAGATCTATCTTCCAGTCACTTAAGTCTCTATGCAGTTACGGGTAGTTTGTATTTTCACCTATTTTTGATTTGGGTTTTTTATTTTTTCTTTTGTGTCTTTTATTTTTTAAATTTGTTAAAAGTCTCCTTCACATTTTTCTATTGTTTTAGTTATTTTTTTCTTTGAGACAGCATCTTGGCCTGTCACTCAGGCTGGAGTGCAGTGGCATGATCACAGCTCACTGAAGCCTTGATCTCCTGGGATCAGGTGATCCTCCTACCTCTCAGCTTCCCAAGTAGCTAGGACCACAGGTGAGAGCCACCATGCCTGGCTATTTTTGTATTTTTGGTAGAGACCGGGTTTCATCATGTTTCCCAGGCTGGTCTTGAATTCCTGGGCTCAACTGATTCACCTGCCTCGGCCTCCTTCTTCACCTCTGTTTCTTTCTTCACTACTCAACCCAAGGTGCAAAAGAGGATAGACAACTTCTGGGATTACAGGTGTGAACCGCTGCACCCAGCCTGTCTTTAATTCTTGAAGTAAAATTTCTCCCGTATTTGTAACACTGACTCTCCCACATACTATTTTACTTCCTGATTAGGTTTTAAAAATGTGGCTTGAAATTCATCTTCAATGAAGATTGTTTTCCATGAGGGTCCTTTTCCCCCTATGTTGTAGATTTGCCTCTACCAAGTGGTTTTTAGTATGTCGTTGCCTGCGGTCATTCAGATTTCAACGGCATTAATATCTTGGCTTGGTGCTTCCACTCTACGGGAATAAATTTGGTCCTTGAGTGCCCAATGTCACAAGTTTGGAATTTATTTTTCTCATGCGTTGTGCATTTTTACACTCATGGCTCCAGCCAGAAAGAAGCTTCCTTGCTATTGTTCTGGGCAGTGGGCAGCTGTCAAGGCTTATGTTTGTGGATGATCAGTTCTGAGTAGCTCCTGGCTTTAAGCTAGTAACTCAACACAGGGCCTATAGCCAGGATTCCTTTCTCATTTAGAGAATTCAATTCCTAGTTCCCAGCTGTTATATCTGTTTCTGATATCCCCGTGAGTCATTCTCTCTCAGCCTTGCTCACCAGAGGACTGAGAGTTCCCTCCCCTTTAGGTTACTTGGGAATTTCTCTTCTTTAAAGCTTACCTATGTATTTTATTTTTTATGTTAAATTTTATTCAGTATTTTCATGTCTGGAACAAAAGGAGGTTCTTCTATTGGAACACAGACTAATTTTGTTAGACCTGAACTACGTGTTTAAAATGTTTGAAAGCCTTTAAGTTGGGGAATACATGTACTAGCTTGTCACGTGCTTATCTTATCATCATACTGGCCTTATAATATTCATACTGGCCTGATCTTCATAATGGTCTGATGATATTCACATCACCCTATACATGTTTTCATTTGCTTTTTAGACTCCTGATCTACAGAAATAGACATATATTATTTTCTGAAAATTTAATTACTTGACCATTTGAAAATGGCATCCTGTTTTTAAAAATACCCTGGCAGCCGAGCTGTATACTGGGTGTATAATGTGTGCAACATTAGGGGTTCCCCTGATATTAGTTCCAGAATATCTGCCTATAAAATGATAGCAATATTGGGATTGATAATGTCTACAACATACTACTATTTCCTTGTGGTATAAGAAAGGACACGGGCTACAGAGAAACAGAAAGTCACAAGTATCAGTGTTCCTGGGTTTTAGGGACATAAGACTAAAGAGGACAAGTATTCTTGAGGTACTTCAGGACAAGCAGGTATGCTTTTGTCCCAGTCTTTTTAGGGAACATTTAGGTTCTTCAATAACCTGGGATAGCAATATTAGCATCAAAAATCTTATTTTAAGCTGGCTGGAACGAATTTTGAAGAGTCATTTTGCAAATTTATCCTAATATCTTATGTGATCCTTTCTTTTAACCAAATGTAAGTGTGAAGAGACAGAGATTGTCACCAGGAGTAAAGCAGTAATGTACAACAATAGACTGTAGGAAATGGTGGTCCTTTCACAGAGCCACTACAAAAACCTAAGGAATGAATGCCCTATGGAAGGAAGTAGAAAGGCTTCTGGGATGATTGTTCAGCAGAGCTCAGAAGTTCTCATTTCTTTTTGAGAAGGAGTCTCACTCTGTCACCCAGCTGGAGTGCAGTGGCGCGATCTTGGCTCATTGCAACCTCTGCCTCCTGGGTTTAAGTGATTCTCCTGCCTCAGCCTCCCGAGTAACTGGGACTACAGGTGCATTTTGTATTTTTAGTAGAGACGGGGTTTCACTGTGTTAGCCAGGAAGGTCACCATCTCCTGACATGATGATCCACCCGCCTCGGCCTCCCAGAGTGCTGGGATTACAGGTGTGAGCCACCGTGCTTGGCCAGAATTTCTCGTTCTTATACCATAATCATATCATCAATGACCATATATGCTTTAGATAAGCTCTTAATCTGTCAGGGTTGTTACAAGTATGTGCTCTTGCTACCAAGATTCCTCTTTATTTGACTAGAACATGGACCTAAACCAACCATACATTTGAATCTAAAGAAAATGCCACAATGTAAAATAATGTTGCAGGTTCTTTTCTTTGAGGAAGATAAGCAAGATTAATATGATATGTGTAACTTCTCAAACTAGTGCTCAGGCTGGGCGTGGTGGCTCACACCTGTAAATCCCAGCACTTTGGGAGGCTGAGGCAGGTGGATCACTTGAGGTCAGGAGTTTGAGACCAGCCTGACCAATATGATAAAACCCCATCTCTACTAAAAATACAAAAATTAGCTGGGTGTGGTGGGGTGCACCTGTAGTCCCAGCTACTCAGGAGGCTGAGACAGGAGAATTGCGTGAACCCAGGTGGTGGAGGTAGCAGTGAGCCGAGATCATGCCACTGCACTCCAGCTGGATAACAGAGCAAGATTCTGTGCATAAAAACAAAACAAAAAAACACACAGTGGTCAGCACAGAATTCAGAATTACTCTGTCATTCTGAGTCCAAGCAAAGATTCTTTCGAAGCTGTTGGCATTCATAAAATAATAAAAATCACTGCTGTCTGTTGATGTACCATGTGCCAGGCACCAAACCATGCACCTATACACATACCTTCATTTAATCCTCACTGCTATCTTACGAAGTTATCATTTTTTTATATCCATTAAATGAATCTTAAAATGTCACATTTTGGAAGGATTAAGCAGCCTGCCTGTAGTTGTGCAACCAGAATTAGGTCTCAGGTCTATGGGACTCCAGAGCCCATGCTCTTAACCCCTGTGTTTCCCAATTGAACATCTGTCCTTAAGCACATTATTTAATGCCGTTCACTAAAGAATAGCATATAATGTTAGAATTGCAGAACTAAAGGATTCTCAAGGCCAACAGATTTTACAAATAAAGAAAAGGAGTGCAAGAAAGGTTAAGAGCTCCAAGTCACATGGCTAGTCAAATACAGTCTTCCTCATGGCTCCTGTGGTGCCTGTTAACAGAAATTGCTTGATTCACAGGCTTATGTAAATCCTCACCTGTCAAACCTTCTCTAGGGGAGGGACAAGAAGCAGAAAGTAGGCTGCATTTTCTGGACCTGACTCCCCTGTTTTGCTTTATCTTGGGCAGCCAGAGATTAGACATAGATGGAATTATTTCATGCATCAAGAGAAGCAACTGCAACCCCTAGAGACAGGAATACAACTTCAGGAAAAAAATCTGCTTTTCTATTCTTTGATGACTGACCTAGGCTGTGTGGCTTGCTCTTCTCCTTACTTACAAAATTATTATCCCATAAAAAAGCACTGGAAAACTAGAGTGTAGAAAGCAATGAAAATGAAGCAGTTACCTTGTAGAACTTGGAGCTCAACTTCATGCCTTATGTGGATTTTTTTCTAAGTTCTTGGGGTGGTCTGATATCAGAGCTCATAATCAGACACTCATAGAATATGGCCAGGTGTCCTTTTAGCTTGGATTTAGATCACAGATCAGCTGTGACTATTGTCACAGTTGCTAGGGAATGTTTGTATGTTTATTTTGAGGTCTGCCCACATGTTGCATTAGAGTGCTCTCCACTCCCCAGAACAAGTAGAGCTCTTTATTTTTAACTAAACGGTTTCCTTGTAATATGTTTTATGAATGTACAGCCTGCTTTGCCAAGCTATAGTTATCTTCAGTTTCTCCCTAATAGTCCAAAATCTCTAGTTTTTTGCATTCAACTTCATGTAACCGGTTGTATTCTAGACTGAATATCTCTGGTACTTTCCTACCCCTAAGTCTTGCACAAGCTGCTTTGCTCACCTGGAATGCCTGCCTGATCCAGCCTCTAGCTACACATTTTGTAAAATCAAAATATTTTGTTTTAATATTTGAAATGAGGGCAGTCAACTTGTTACAGGAAAAAGTTCATAAGCATTGTTGTCATATCTGTGTTCAAATTCGGGCTCTGCTTCATAGACAAGGCAGGGACCATTTATTGGATGCTTACTGCAGTGTCATCTACAGGGAGGCGGGGACTTACAGAACCTTCCAAATACCAAGAACTGTGGCAGGTGCTCTATGTATCTGATTTCAATATATCTTCATAAAATCTTGGTAGGTAAACATTATTATCTGCATTTTATCAATGAGAAAACTGATGCTTAGAAAAGCATTGATAAAATGCTTTGATAAAATGAGAAAAGCATCGATAAAATGCAGATAATAATGTTTACCTATCAAGATTTTATGAAATCAGATACATAGAGCACCCGTCACAGTTCCCGGTATTTGGAAGGTTCTGTAAGTCCCCGCCTCCCTGTAGATGACACTGCAATAAGCATTCAATAAATGGTCCCTGCCTTGTCTATGAAGCCTTTCCTAACCATCTTCCAAACCGGCACCTCAGAATTAGTCTCCCTCTTCTGACCGCCTGTAGCATTGTATTGTACCTAAGATCTTGCCACAATCAAACTTGTCAAATACTATGTTCTGAGAGATAAGTTGGCACTGTAACTAGATCTGCTAGCACAACGCCATATTCTCCCCAAAAGAGACAGCTGAACTTCATTCATAGATGATCCTTTGTTTATCTCTCATCAGAATCACACTTTCTGTTATCATAAACACTATACCTTGTTAGATGACTCTATTGCAGGTCTCTTTAAAAGTGCCATTATTATACTTCATAATTAAAGGGATTGTAAGAATGTATGTCATGGTGTGACAGCATGGCAAACAACAGACATCTGAATATTCATTTCCTGAAATGAATAATCCATCATTACAGAAAGAAAAATGGAAGCCTGTATTCAGTGGACCTATAAAAGGTGTTTAAAGAATGTCCATGTCTTCCTTAGAAAACCCCTCATGAGCAGCCTTGTTTTGTTGCAGGTGTCTTACAGGAAGCAGCTCAGGGTTTTGCGTATATGTGTTTGTTTGTTTGTTTGTTTTTTTTTAACTTGTACAACTCCTGGTTGATGACAATAATAATGTAAATGACCTAATGTTTAAATTGTGTTATTCTAATCAGTTTTCTGACCTGTGCTGTCAACAGAATTTCTGATGATCAAAAGATAAAACTCAGACAATGTTGGTTTTGTGCCATCAAATAATACTTTTGTGTTTATTCATGCACAAATTCATACATTTATCTCAGATACTTGTTAAGCAACTACTATGTTGAGGCTCTGGGGATGGGGATGGGGATAGGTGGTAACTCAAACAGGCCTGGACTCTGCCCTCATGGAGTTCACATTTGGCTGTTTTATAAATGTTGTGAGGAAAGGATTTTTTTTCATCCATGATTGTCTTTATTTCAATATTTGAGATGTGTTATTACATAAGAATCTGATCATGACTCGGGACAAATTATTTGTTTTTTTCTTGTACATCTAGCAGAGCTATTTGTAAAAGTTAAACATTAGTTATTGATTTGTCAGATTTTTTAATTTAGAAAATGTTTTGTATTTGTTTTGTGGTTTGCCTAAATTGCTGTAACATTTGGTATCTAATTTGACTCTCACAATAACCCTGTAGGGTGCATGGTATTCCCATGATAAGAAACTAGATGCTCAGCAGGCCTAATTGGCCTCCCATGGAGTCCCGGCTACTTAGCAGCCATCCGGATGGAAACTTAAGTCTTCTAATTTATTGAGTATGTTCTTGATTCCAGCTTAAAAAAAAAACTTAAAATATTAAAACTGTATTTTATTCTTGTTTAAATTAGACTTTAATTGACAGCTGGAAAATGGAAACAAAAATGTGAATCAATGGTGATTTTTGAGCCCCTCTCTGCTGCTGTATAGGCACTGTGGGGAGTAGAAATGACCTCTGCCTCTTGATACATTTATAGGTTCGTTGATAAGACATAATGTACACTTAGAAAGGAACTCAGTAACCCTCCAACTCAGAATACATGGTTCAGTGTTAAAGTGAGAAATACCAACACAAGAGTTAAGAAGATAAGAAGAGCTAAAGCAGATGCAAATAGTGTATCTTGAGCTAAATCTTCAAGGGCAGGGAAGATAGGACTTGGGCAGGGAAGACGCTTCTAGGCAGGGGGAATGGCAAGTTGCAAGGTTCAGAAGTGGAAGGGAATATGATGGTGATGATGATAACAATAACTGCCATTTGCCCAGCACTTATCACTTGCCAAGCAGTTATTGGTTCACATGCATTAACTTATCCTTAAAACAGTTATCAAAACAATTGAACCAGATAAGAATTGTTACTATTTCAGTTTTACATATGAGGAAACTGAGGCATAGAGAGGTTAAGCAACTTGCTCAAGGCTGCATGTGCATTAAATGTCAGCTGGATTCCACCATGGTCTTGAGACTAGAATCCACTCTAACTCTGTTAACCTGTGTGTTATGCTGCCTGATGTGATGCTGGTGAAATGGTAAGGACACCTTCATGATAGAGGGGAGACTCGATGTGCAGCCATGATGAGAGAGGTCAAATAATGGAGAATCTAACAATCAGGTAGAAAGCTTTAGACTTTGTCTGGACTTACTGATATTTAATCAGCGTGGAAACATGGCAGACATTTATTTTAGAGAGATTAGTAAGCCATAGACAGAAAGGATTGAGAGACAAATAAGGGTACGAATGGCAACTGTTAGATGGAAACTATTAGAAGGGGGTTTCTATCCAGGCATGGGTGATAGGTGATTAGACCTGGAGTAGGGCAGCAGTAGAAAGCAGGTAATGGTGATAAGGACTGGAACTGCACTGAATTAATGGGTGAGTCAAGGCCAGGTGATTTCCTGAGAGCAGCTTCGTGGTTTTACCCCCATTTTACAGGTGAGGAAATACAGAGGCTCCAAGAAGTTAGTTAATTTGTGCTAATAAGCATTGGAGCAGGGATTTGAGTCTATATCTATCTTTCTTGGCTTCCTCTCTTTAAGGTAAAATAATGCAGTCTGGTCGTAAAGTAAAGTTCCTGATAAGGTTTGAAGAATTGCTCCCCAAATAAGAGATACTTAAAGTCATGGAGAGAAATCAACATTCAGGGGGAGCAACAATATCAGAGAAAAGGCAGAGACTGAATATTAAAGAACACTGGAGGGAGGGAGGAGGGTAAAGATTGAAAAACTGCCTATCAGGTACTGTGCTTATCTCCTGGGCAATGAAATCATCTGTCCACCAAAACCCTATGACATGCGGTTTACCTGTTTAACAAGCTTACACATAAACCCCTCAGCCTGAAAGTTAAAAAAAAGAATACAGAGAAGAATGGAGCACGTGGAAGAGGCTTCCAGAAGAAAACAAGTCAGAGGTATAGGGAGGGAACCTAGGGCCCCTGAGGCTGCAGCAGCCAACAAGGAGAGAACAGTCAGTGACTCAAAGTGAAACTGCCGATGGATTGTCAAGTGGAGGAGGAGGGAACATGCACGCAGCATGATGTTCTTAGTAACCCTCAACAAACAAAGGCAGATTCAGGTGTGAAGGGCAAGTAGTGTTGCAGGTGGGAGGATATGGGAGTGCTGCCAGTGATGGGGTGGAGAAGGGAAGGAAGGTCTGGCATGAGGAGAAAGAATTCTGACGCATCCGATGCCCCACTCTGCAAGTTCTGAGCCAAGCCAGCTGGAGTCAAGGGGAGAGACCATGGGGAGGCTGAATGGCTGGAGGGGAGGCAGAGAGGATTCCTGTAATCCAGTGGGAGGTGCCTGGCAGGAGGCCAGGAAGACGTGAAGGGACTCTAATGTGTAGTAGACAAAGAAGTAAGGAGTTGAGGGAATGATTGTTCCATCAGCTACATGTAGTGGCACAATGGACAAGCCCGCATTCTAGGAGTCCCCCCTCCTCCAGCTTCTACAGAAGCCCTTACCCTCCATCCTGGCCCACTTGCCAGGACCTGCTGGGAAGCTCAAAACCCTCCCTACTCCCATCCAATCTCATAAGACAGTTAAGTGAGCCTCTCACCTCAGCCTCCCAAGTAGCTGGGACTACAGGCGCATGCCACCACCCTCAGCTAATTTTTAAATTTTTTGTAGAGACACAGTCTCACAGTATTGCCCAGGCTGGTCTCCAACTTCTGGACTCAAGCAGTCCTCCCATCTCAGCCTCCCAAAGTGCTGGGATTACAGGTGTGAGCGACTGCACCCATCTGTACATTGCTTTTTAAATAACAATTGTTGAATAGGTGGGTAAGTGGAGAGTGGTTTCTATTAAGGAACTTTTCAGTGCTTCTTGTCACTCTGATTTGTGCCTTAATTCAAGTTTATAAATGATTACTAATATTCAGGATATTAAGATAGGTACATGGGTCATTTGGGAGGGGTAGTATTTTGATAGCAGCACCTTATACTCTGATTTACAGTATTAATTCTTTAGAGGTATTTTGGTGTATATGAGCACTGATGGTTGTGCTTTAAAATTGGCAGCCCATTGATATTAGGAGGACCAGCCAAGAGGCAGGCACTACAGTAGAGGGACCCTGGGTTAGAAGTCAGATGGCCAAGCTCCCAGGCC